ACACACACACACACACACACACACACACACACACACACACACACACACACACACACACACACACACACACACACACACACACACACACACACACACACACACACACACACACACACACACACACACACACACACACACACACACACACACACACACACACACACACACACACACACACACACACACACACACACACACACACACACACACACACACACACACACACACACACACACACACACACACACACACACACACACACACACACACACACACACACACTGGTGCAGTGGCTACAAAAGGCTGCACTGTAGCCAATAAGGTCACAAGACTGATCCCTGCAGCGGCCGACGTGTCCATCAAGAGCTGAGGGTCGTCCGTCGAGACAATACAGCTCACTGTGCTCAGTCACTGTGACTCAGCTCAATGCTGGAAGTGCTACATGGGAAAAGAAGTGCAGTAGCTCTTTATAGCCACACACACTCATGCACACACACACGCACGCACACACACACGCACACACAGAGATTGTCCTTGAAAGAGGGGCAAAGTGTGGTGAAGGTAATTAGTATGAAGTCGCTGTCATAAACTGGCAGATTGTGTGCATGTCAATGTGTGTACCTGTGAGTGTGGATGTTTGTGCAGTGCGGTTAAAAAGATCTTAAAAAACAAAATGCAACACAAGAAGGGTTGGGTATTATGGCTAAAATCAATATCAGGATATGAATATAGTAAGCAGAGCTGAAACGAGTAGTCTATTGACAGAAAAACTTTTGGAAGGAGTGATAACCGTTTAAGTAATTTTAACGGAAAATACCAAATATGTCCCGGCTTCAGCTACTCAATTATAATGATTTGCTGTTTAGCTTTTTCTTATTTTAAAGTGTATTGGATATTTTTCTGATTTTGGTCTCCCTCGCTGGCGTAATAAAGCAATTTGACCTTGGAAATATTCATGTAAAACAAAAACAAAACGAATATCATAATTTCACGGTTTATTTGTCAATACTGAAAAATGTGTGATAAAAAGAACCAAATCATACTACAAGTCAGATCATAAACATGAAGATAACCTCTGAAGTAAGTGTGCCAATGCCAGTGTGTTAGAAACGGCCCGTTACATGTTCTGCTTTGAGCTAGTTTGGTGATTTATGATGTGTATATGATCCTATTTGCTCGAGTCTTTTGGTGTAGGAGTGAGAGTCCTCCACACTGGCTCACAAATGACTAAAATAGCTTTCACCTGCAATGCTGTTGACCTCTACTTCACTGTAACACCATGTGAAGTGCAGGACTGAGGATGGCTACCCTGAAGCCAACAAGAGAGGAGAGGTGGACAGATTCAGAGGTGCATATGAGCAGAAAAAAGCCTTCACTGTTTAGGGGGATACAAAATTGAAGACATTAATCCCCCTTTGGATTATGCCTCAAAGCACACCCTATGGTGCCAGCAGTTTATCACGTTTACATTTTTCAATCAAATGTGGAAGACTTAATATGATTGTTTCAATAATATTTATAAAGAACCAGGTTTAAAACGTGACATTTCAACCTCCTGCAGGTTTCCCTCCTTCGTTCCAGTCATAGTTGACAGTAAACGTTCAGTGAGTCCAAAGAGAAAGAGTTATCCGAGTCTACAGGCATAGAAAAAAAAGGCCTAACCAAAGCATCTCCTGCCAGCGAGTTCACCCTGAGGAACGTTTCCATCTTTATTCCAGGCTTTTTTCACACTCGTACTCAATTTAAAAGTCTGAACGTTTATTGCCTCTTTTAGGGACTATGATGCTTGTTGACACCTTTATATACAGTCTATGTTCAAAACAAATACAGGTGACACTAAATGTCCTTGTTTTTTAACCACATCCTTGGTTTTCCCACAGTTCTCCTTTGGTTGTCTTCATTTTAAACTATTTTAAGCTATTCTTTTATAACAACATTCATGCAATTCACACCATATCACATGTTTTTGTGTGTACTAGTTTAGATGTGTCTATGAACTTCTTCTCAGCTATGAATTGTCAGTTGTGATTTCCAAGTCACTATTCCCAGTTTATTCTAAATGAATAGTTTATTGTACAAAAATGTCAAAGAATTGTAAACAAAAATGGTAATTTGTTAAGGAAATCTACAAATTGATGGTTTCATCCACCAAGAGTCTGAAATATTAAATATTTTTAAAAGGTATTTATAATTCGATGATGTCAAATAGAGAAAATAAATAGAAATCAAGCATTCCAATTGACATGCTCTAAGGGGAAAGATGGAGTAGATGGACGGACCATATAGAAAGTATCAGCAACAATATCAGAAAACCAACACATTTGTCAAAATTGACTGCTGTCATGCATTTGCAATCCATCCAATAGGGGCTTGCTAACCTCATATTTGCAGCATGACTCTGCCTCAGGCAAAAACTCAAACTCTCACAAAGCTTCGGAGCAGCAGCGGCAGCATCTGACCGAGGCCAATGGTTCTGTAATTGGCATTACAACTTTGCGGAAACCAAAGAATTCGGCTGGTTCAACTCTGCAGCCTCGTTTCTTGGCTGGTTGCAAAAATGTTTACCCCAGAGAGCTACTTCTCAAAGAAACATGTCACAGCAGCACATAATGTCCCATAATGCCTCTGCATCCAGCTGTTGTTCATGGGATGCAAACAATGCATTAGTGTGGAGGCTTTGTTCAGCTATGGGAAGTGTTGGAAAAGATACAGCACACAGGAGAACAGCTGATGTTATGTGTTGGTTATACTGTGTAGTGTGTGAGCAGCTGCATGGCGGGAGTCACAAGTTCATACAGTGTGATGTTGTCACTTTGGCGCGTGTTGTTACATATTTGTCTTATCAGATTGTCCTATTTGTAAAAGAAGCTCTTGTAAAAATACTTCGTTGTTAATGATTTATATATTGTAGATAACAGAATCCAATTACCCTCACTTCATGCAAAAAGTTAAACATACTCTTCATAGATAGTCAATAATTAATAATATGAACAAATATTGTTACAACTTGCTCTCAAACAGCTACTGGTGCAAAATTGTGGTTCAAGAAAAGCTCTTTCTTGTTCAACTAACATTAAAACATGTGGGTATTTCGGATCCCTGAGGTATTTTCTGACACATGTTTCCTCTGTGGCAAATAATTAACAAGAACATCACAACACCACACCCTCTGCTTGTTTGTCTCTGTGACATTTCCACTGTGCACCTTGTTTCTCACATTGCGGTCAGACAGGTGATGGGGAAGTGATTACATGGGACACATGCTCCCACCCCAAACAGTATCTAGTTCCTCTGAGAGTCCTCTCTATCTGTGTTATTATCAAAACAGGCCTTTCAGTTCTCCCAGCGCTGTCGCCTCCGGCACTTGAGCTCTGACAGGTATTCAGTCACCGGCGTCAAATCATCACCTGCAGAGAAGTGCGACTGTGCCCGTGTGACGGCCAGGTTCATCCACAGCTATGCGGGGGGGAAATACCAATCATTTGCACAACATGTAATATATCCTTTGTTTGAAGAAGATTCTTAGGATGCACAGCATAGTATGAAGCAGTCGTCACATGCAAAGCAGCTGTTCTGCAGGACATTTGAAATAAAATACAAGCCAGAGAACCATTCATTCTTTACGCAAGATAAGTGTAAACACAAAGCAGCTGCAGATACAAGTTTCTTCCCCCGGAAACAGCAAGGAGGTCCAAAAGGTGATTCATGATTTCCAGATGACAGACCATATATCCAACTGGCTGTGCATCTGCCTTGTTTTACTGTACAGAGCTCCACATGGGACGCACATGGTGTCAACACGCACAGCTGCACTCTGACATGACATCCCCATACGTCCTGACAGGAAGCTGCCACAAAACAACACGCCATTGGGAGCTCATTGAGTCATATTTAAAAGACTGAAGCGAGCATGTTGCCCTTGAAAAGACCTTCCTAAAACATGAAACTCCCAATGACAGTCCCAATGAAATGCCATAATCCATTATCCATTATTGATTTATAATCCAGGGACGGATTAGGCGACATTCCATCAGGAGTTGTTTTTCCTCCATCAATGCAGAGATTGGATCCACAGTTTCTGGGTCAAATAATATGTACAAGACTCATATGTGGTAAAGCCGGGGCTCTATATAGGTTTTCCCCGCACTCCAGTTTCAGAGGGACATTTTCTATAATCCATTTCATGCCTCGTCTCATGAGCTGACATTCCAACGCGAGAAATACCCTGCTGACTTTCATCAGGCTTTTGTCACTTCCTCTCGGGGGTGTCTAATTCTCAACATATGCATTGAATGCAGCTTGGATTGAGCCTGCTGTAGGACATTTTACACTGGACACAACCAAATATGGTGATTCACTGAGAAACAAAGAACAATTATACAACAGTATTGTCCCGATAGCTATAGCTTGACATGTCAAGAAATCCTTAAAATAATATCTGAAAACCAAAGCTAGAACGTTGTCTTAGTCATTAGCAGTCATCAAACAATCTCTAGAGACTGAAGTTCTCTTTGTGCATTCCTATATGCCTTTTTGGGAGGGCAGGAACTATGTACCATGAATTACATTTAGTCATGATCTCCTCTCCATCAATCCACAGCTAAAGTTCATACATAGGTTTGTCGGTTACTGAAAAAGATCCAGCAGTAAAATGGCTATATGTCTCAGTTGAAGTGGTCCTACAGTCAAACCATACAGTCAGCTACAATGCACTCAAAGCACAGCGACACTGGCTTATCAATCATCATCAGATATTGTTCCTATCTAAGATTTGAAAGCAAGTGTCATTCTGTATTAGTTCCTGAGATATTGCTCATGGCATCTTAAAGGTGGAACTGCAGATCACAACCACAACCAAACTCAAACCATTTGTTCCTTTATCAGAAGCACATTTTGTGAAAATCTATTGGTGGTATTTTGAGTTATTTTGCTGACAAACCAACAGACCAACATGAGCATATCCTCTTTATTATTTTTCCAACACTGCAAGAGTTCCTTACCTCCAACACAGGCCCGGCCCCCAGGATGATCTGCTCCACCCCGCTGGCGAACCCCTTCTGGCTGAGAGCAGTCAGGTGATGGATGAGGAAGTTGGTGCTCTGGGTCTTCCCTGACCCACTCTCCCCAGAAATGACTATGCACTGGTTCTTCCGTCGCTGCAGCATAGCGTGATACGCCACGTCCGCCACAGCATAAATGTGAGGCTCCAGCTTCCCCAGTGTGTGGTTATCGTACAATTTGACATACTTAGGATTGTAGATTGGCAGGAACTGAAAAGGGTTAATCACAATAAGAATACTCCCAATGTAAGTGTAGATCTTCTCCTGGCGGAAATGTGCACGGAGGCTCTCCAAAATAGTGCGTTCTGTTAGCTCCGGGAGAGCGCAGAGGTCGGACGGAGGGTCGCTCCCTGCAGGCTGGGGGAGGAAACCCCGCTCCACCATGCGCCGCCGCTCCTCAGTCAACCGCAGCCACATCTGCAGGCTGCCGCCATAATGGATAGACCCGTCCAAGTTCTTCTCCCTCAGGAGGAAGCGGTAGTCGTCTCCGCTGCAGAGGCCGCTGCGGTTCTCCAGGGCGCTGCGAGGCCAGAGCATCATCCTCTGCACGGGGCAGTCGGAGGGGTTCAGGATCCACTCCTCCCCGCCAAACTCCTTCACCTCAGCCAACACGTAGCATTTGGTGCGATCCAGGCGCAGCCGCTCGATGAGGCAGTCGATGGCCTCGGCAGCCGTGGTGTTCTTGCGGGCGCAGACGGGGCAGTAGATGGTTCCCTCGGCCAGGGTGCCCGGGTACACGCGCAGGCTGAACTCCTGGTCCTCCAGGCGCCGCCGCATGCTGCCGGTGACGCTGGCCATGTTGGCGCTGCTAGCATAGCTGCAGCCGCCATCTTGTAAGCTCATGGCGGCGTAGCAGGTCCCATCAGCACAGCGCTCTCTGGGCCCCGAGGACTGACTCAGGACATCCCAACTGGAGGAGACAGAAGAGAGGACATGGAAGATGTTAGACATGGTGGTAAAAAGTTCAAAGAAGGAATTTAATGGTTTCTTCCTGACATCACTGACATTTATGTCCTCGGGCATTTCCAGTACATTGAGTCACAACAGGGTCAGTAGTGTCATGGCGATTTCATCTGTCCCATGACACAGTGGGTCGTCTCAATAGGCTTTCTGTTTTGGATCGTAAAGGGAACTACTATCAGAGACGCCACAAAAGAGGAGCATGAGACCAACTCAAAGAGAGAGACAAGAACTGATAGCTATTCAAAACAATGAGGAACAGTAGCTGCTTCATGAATTGAAAGGCTAACCGCCAGCTTATCAGAGCCGCATACCCTGAGTGTTTGTGTGCGTGTGCGTGTGCGCGCGCGCGTGTGTGTATGTGTGTGTATGTGTATGTGTGTTCATGTGATAATCCAAGGGCTCTAGCAGTGTGCCAAGATTAACAGCTGCCACCTTCCTCACAAAAGTGGCTGTAATGAGAGCACAATGGTTTAATTCACCACTTCCCCGTTGATAGTGAACACAGCACTCCATTCTCTTTCCACACAAACACACACAAACACACTTATTCAAATTTCACAGACTACAAAGCTTCAAATGTGATACAAAAATGATACACTGTAAATGACTGTTAAATATGCTGCTGAGTATCTATAAGTGTCTAACAGTGATATAAATAGCATGAATGTAATGTTTGTTTATCTCATACATTACGTTTTAAGACATTTTCCGCTGCTTTTACTTTAAATTATAATATACAAATCGTGCCAAATGAGACTGAAATTCAATATAAGTAGTCAGAGGTTTTTGCAGCATTGGGCTCCAAAAATAAATTGAATAAAGTAGGTATCATTTCCTTATTGAAAGTAGATATTAAATCGAATTCTTTAATTCAATTCTTAGTAACGGCTACAAGAAAATATGATCTATATTTGTATAATAAATATAATACTGGTCTGATTTGGGAATTCAAGCATTTTCTATTCGACTGCATCATAACCAAATGCAGAAAAGTGTTGGTTTTGGTTTGCTGGACAGTCTCTAAGGAAATAGTAAAAGCCATTACCGAACAATGAATGTGAATTACTAAACCGTAGACTGCCAACAAAAATAGAAACAAGAACTCAATTTAAATGTCGGCCCAAACTGAGACCCCCGCAGTGAAAGCTTCATTGTTCGCTGCACTTCCTCATCCCCTCACTCTCTACAGGATTTTATTATTTTCATATTTTGCAGGTTTTCTATCTGGCTTCATCTCTCTCATGCTGTTTCAGTCTCATGCTGGATATTTACCATCAAAAACAGGCATCACATTTCAACATTCTGTTTAAAACAATGTTCCTTTTATCAGGAACCGTAATGCAAGACAAGGCATTGAAAAAACACTTTACACTGAACTGAGGTTAGTATTTTGATGCAAGCATGTACCACTGTCCTTTAACGGTGTCGCAATTGAATCCTGCTCATGTTTTAATCATCTCTACCCTTTTTGCTGGATGACTTTTAATTTTCTTCACCGGCTCCTTCAGCTAAGTGCATGTGGTAGACAGATAGAGGAAGAGAGAGAAAGAATAGGATGAGAAAGCCCAGACAGACCCTCCTCTGCAGTGATCCTGACCACCTACAGCAGTCTGCAGCAGTCCAGACAGAGAGAGAGAGAGGGAGGGAGGAAATAACCAGCTGGGCGTCTGTACGAAACAAAGAGGGGAACTCTGAGGGATGAAAGACCTAGCAGAGGCAGACAGACAGAGATGAGAGAGAGAGAGAGAGAGAGAGTACACAAGACTCAAAACAAGCGTCCCCCACGACTGATACATCCGCTCCCTGGGACGCTAATGAGATGTTCAAACGGGTAACAGGTCAGAGTTTAACTGTATTATGCAGAAATGTACAGTCAGTGCTCGTAGACTGCAGATCAGTAGAATATACTGAAATAAAAAAAAGGTAATTTGAAATGTACAACTGCTTCTGAGCTATGCTGCAAGAAAAAGATTGACGTACATCTAGATTTTCTGTTGACTCCACTAAAACCTTCAATTTATTTTCTTGCTGCTCTTTCAGTAGCCAAACAGCAAGATTATGCATCACAGCCAACATGGGAAAGAGGTGGAACAGACACAACCTGCCACAGTTTACCCCAGTCTACAAAAGTAATGGTAGAAAGAAAGTTAATTACAACTCATCAGGAACTGAAGACGCACTACAGAGTTGTCATGTGAACCAACACAATTTAAGTGTGCTTCCTGTTTTTCCATTCATAGAAAACAGCTCTGTAGTGTAACTGAGATTAGCCTCAAATTAGCCTCCGGTATTATGCTAGCTTGGTTAGCACCAGTGGTGTAGTGGGGATTTTTTTACTGGGTGGACGGTGCGGGGGGAGAGACACTATGGACGCGCTCGTGAACTGTCGGGGGGGGGGGGGGGGGGGGGGGCAGTACACTGTGGACCTCTGTGGACCTCTGTCGCCTGTCAGTGCAACTTACATGATGCCATTTAAAATATATAATAATAAAGGGCGGTGCCGGTCGTCAGCAACTGATAACACTGGCAATGATTTTATATTTATTAGACTATTCAGAAAAAAATCATGCTTCAAGAAAGTGGGGAGACGGCGATCTCCCGCGTCCAACGACCACTACACCACTGGTTAGCACTACTAAAAGCACTAATTTCCCCTGTTTACCTATAATGGGACCCCCGCCAGACAATAACCGGTTTAATATTACAAAAATAAAGCCAAACATCCATTCAAGTGTTTCCGCCTATATCCATTTGTCCGTGTCTGTGGTTCGTTCTTATGACAGATCGGTGATTCCCTAATTTTTCTCTGTGAAGTCAACTGGAACTGGAAGTGATGTAATGTAGCCTCAGTGTTTTCTATGAAGTGAGTACTGCTTTGGACTTGAAATAAATGCTTTGTCAGTAACCACTCTTAGGTTACTTGTGTGCTCTGATTAAGTTGGTATGAAGTTAATCGTTGTTTTAATGAGAAAAGAACGTCTCAACAGACATCATAATGCAGTCAACCCAGGATACAAACACAGTCCCTTCTTGTATCTATAGCCAGCTTAAATCGTCACTTCCTAAGTGCTCTTTACTTCGACTGCTGGCCATTTTTGGTTTGATAAAACGTTCAGTTACTAAAACATCTTGCCCCAGCCTTGATTCAGCTCTCTGATTGGTTCATCTTCATCAGTTCTCTTCCTGAGCTGTCAGTCCAACTCAGTGAGCCTTTAAGCTAAGAGCTAGTGACTTATGACTGTGGGCTTCATGTCTTTGAGTCATCGCTAAAACGTTAGCCGCTAGGGAAAAAGACAGGCTGCTTTCACAATGAGAACAGATGACAGATACAGTACAGGAAAGAGTGTGTGGGTTTCAGTATGCGAGAACCAACTGTCTACATTTCTTCATATTGGACCGGACCAAAAATGATATACTGTGTGTTACTCGGGGTATAAAATTGAATAACAACTAGAAAAACAAAAGTATTCACAGTGGATCTAGGCTAATTTCCCCTGATGACTAAGCTTGGGTCAACAAAGTCATTTTAAATGTTAAATGTTGGCTCTGAACCAGTGGGAAACATGGGAAATCCACCACGAAACAACATGGATAAATCCCCTTTACTTGCCCTTTTTCTTACACTGATTGATAAAGATCAGCAAATGTTCTAAATAGCTGGAGTTTCTGTTCTCCAGGAAAACATTTAATTCAGACACAAGGTAATTGGGTTTGTATATTTCGAGCTGAAACAAAAGTGATGTTGTTGTAATTGTATCAACATAAAAACGAAAAGAGAATGACTTTACAGTAAGTCACTCGGATACACCAATTATCTCTCGGAAATGCCATTCACAAACACCACAGATGAGACCAAAATAAAAGGATATTGCGGCTTACCAGTTAAAAGGATGGACAGGAAATCTAAATCCCTACTTCTGGTAATGACGTTTTTTCTCCAAAAAACAAATATATCCTGGTTTAATTTGTCCCTGCCTCGAAAGCTATGATCCCTGAGTGAACCTCCAGCAGAAGATCAGCGGACTGTCTGCTGAGACTTCAGGAGTATCTGCAAGGATCAGGGGTGGGGACTGATGGATGCTCTTTTAAGGGTCAAAGGTCAGAGCAAGGAGCAAGGTTACATACCAGCTGAGTCTCTGACAAATCACATGTGTGGAGTTACGAAGCTGGAATGAAAAAGAAAAGTTTCCTGGCATTTCCTTTAACAGCTGGCTGCGGTGAGGTCATTCAGGCAGGAACTGGACGGCTATTAGACGTGAAGCACAATGGACAGACGTGACCTTAATACTGTATGTTCAGCATTTACAGCGACAGGGTTCTGATGATGATGGATGGTAGGTGGATAGTGATACAAGTCAGGCAAAGCAAGGAGGGAGGAGACGACACGGGATGAGAAGAAAGGGAATGAAAAGAGGTGGTGAAGTGGAGCAGTCTGTTACGTCTTGTTTTGACACGGTCCAATGTGAAGTGCTGACAGCGTGAGGAGATAAGACTGAGGCCGACGCGCTGGAGGAGTGAGTTTTTTGCTTTAAATTGGAGAGAGATTGAAAGGACGTTTAATGAACCCGTCATGTGACTGGTGGGCTGGTTCAGCCCCGGGTCACGGACATTCAGAGCCATCACTCAGGTGCTGACGTTAGAAAACAGAGCTCCTTCCAAGAAAGCATTAATATTTAAAGAGAAAAGGAGACAGACGGAGAGAGTTTATACAGAGGAGAAAGAGCAGAGCAGATAAAGTGACAGACAGAAAGAGGAGGTCTTCAACTGATGATTATTTATTGATTTTGGTCAAAGATGACAAGAAAAGCTTAAAATCTGCACATTTGAGAAGCAGACACCAGCAAGTTTGCCACTTTTGGTTGATGAAATTACAATACATTGTTTTTCCATCAATCTAAAAATCAAGAAAAATTGATGGCACATAGCTTAACAATGTTGACACTGTAA